CAGCACACATTCTGGGATTAGTAAATCAACCTCCTTCAGGCACATTCCAAATGTCTCTATGTTGTGTCTCATTGGGGCTCTTCCTATGCTGTCTCTTTAAGAGTGAGTACTCATGTTTCCTATCCCCCTCCAGCCTGTTGATTTTTAAAGCACTAGGAGTTAATCCCCTCTGGTTATAAAAACTTATGAAGTTAAGCACCACCAGTTTTCAAAGCCAAATGTTACAGGGACTCATCTTCTAAGGGCAGGTCCCCCATCTCTAGAGTACCTGACATAGGGTTTTCCCTTGTCCATGCTTGTGGTGTGCCTATTTGTGGTTAGTTTCCCTAGGACTTTGGTTCTGCCCCTCCTATCCTTTTTGATGTGTCATCTCTACAATTAACTGTGGAATGTCTGCTCTCCCAGTCTTCAGGTCATTTTCTGGATTGGATACACTGATGTGGCTGTTATCTAGGTGTGCCCATGGGACAAGGTGAGCTTAGGATCTCACTTAGTCCACTATTTTCCAAGAACTTGAGTATCTCTTTTCAGTTTTTTTGGGATTTATTCCTGGGAGTGGAATTGCTGGATCATATGGTAATTCTATGTTTAACCTTTTTAGGAACCACCAAACTATTTCCCACATTGGCTGAACCATTTTACATTCCTACCTGCGACATATACAGTTGCTTTTTTAAAAAAATGAAAGACTTAAGTGTAAATCTTACAAAGCATATGTAAGCCTTGTATGCTGAAGACTATAAAACACTGATGAAAGAAATCAAAGATCTAAATAAATGGAGTGACATACCATATTCGTGGATTGGAAGGCTCAGCATGTTAAAGATGTCAATTCTCTCTGGTACAGATTTAAAACAATTCCTGTAAAAGTCCCAGCTAGATTATTTTTCCAAAATTTATTATGAAGTGCCTGGGTGGCTCAGTCAGCTAAGTGCCCAACTCTGGATTCAGCTCAGGTCATGATCTCATGGTCGTGGGGTCGAGCCCTGTGTTGGGTTCTGTGATGGGCATGGAGCCTGCTTGAGATTCTCCTCCTGCCCCTCCCCCTCTCTAAAATAAAAAAATTAAAAATAAAACAAAAAATTATGTTAAAGTCAAAGGAATTAGCATAGGTAAAGCAATTTTGAAAAAGAAGAATAAAATGGGAAGAATCTACCCAGGCGCCCCTAATTTGGCAGTTTCTTAAGAAACTAGGGGCACCCCGGTGGCTCAGTCGGTTAAGCATCCGACTTTGGCTCAGGTCATGATCTCACGGTTTGTGGGCTCAAGCCCCATGTCGGGCTCTGTGCTGACAGCTCAGAGCCTGGAGCCTGTTTCAGATTCTGTGTCTCCGTCTCTCTGACCCTCCCCTCTTCATGCTGTCTCTCTCTCTCTCTCTCTCAGAAATTTTAAAAAACATTTAAAAAAACATTTAAAAAACTTAAAAAAAATAAAATAAATGTGTAGCTACTTTACAACCCAGCAGTTGCACTCCTGGTCATTATGTTCACATATAAACCTATGTGTCAATGTCTGTAGCAGCTTTCTTCTGAAGAGCCCCAAACTGGAAATAACCCAGGTGTTGTTCAGCCTGTGATGGTTAAACGAAGTGTGGTAACCTCTGTGGTGATACAATGGAATACTACTCAACAATAGAAGGGAAAGAACTATTGATACATGCAATGACGTTGAAACTCCAGACACTTATGCTGAGTAAACAAACCCAAATGTTACATACTGTATGCTTTTATTTATACAACATGCTTGAAATGACAAATTATAGAAGTGGAGAACAGATTAGTGGTTGCCAGTGGCTAAAGAGGAAGTGGTATGGTATAAAAGGATAACATGAGACATCTTTGTAATGAAGGAAATGTTCTGTATCTTGACAGTATCAGTGTCAATACCCTGGTTGTGATCTTGCACCGTAATTCTGGAATATACTACCACTGGAGAAATTGGAGCCCTCCAATTAAGGAGATAGATTAAGGATAAATGGATCTGTCTGCATTATTTCTTCCAGCTGCATGTGAACTTGTAATTATCTCAAAATAAAGAGTTTAATGAAAAACAAACAATGTATTTTTTATTTTTTTAATGTTTATATTTATTTTTGAGACAGAGAGAGACAGAGCATGAGTGGGGGAGGGACAGAGGGAGAGGTAGATACAGAATCTGAAGCAGGCTCCAGGCTCTGAGCTGTGGGCACAGAGCGCAACATGGGGCTCAACTCATCAACTGCAAGATCATGACCTGAGCCAAAGTCGGACACTCAGCCGACTGAGCCACCCAGGTGCCCAACAACTATGTATTTTTTAAAGTATGGCATTTGGGACGCCTTGGTGGTTCAGTCAGTTAAGCACCCAACTTCTGATTTCTGCCCAGGTCATGATCTCACAGTTGTGTGATAGAGAGCCACATCAGGCTCTGTGCTGGGCACGGAGACTGCTTGGGATTCTTTCTCTCCCTCTGTCCAACCCACCACTCTCTTTTAAAAAAAGAAAAGAGAAAAAGAAAGAAAGAAAAAGTGATGGAATTAGCAAAGAACAGGAAACTACTGGAAAACTAGAGGGGCGCCTGGGTGGCCCAGCCTTTTGAACGTCTGACTTTGGCTCAGGTCATGATCTTGCAGTTGGTGGATTCAAGCCTGGTAATTGGGCTCTGTGCTGACAGCTCAGAGCCTGGAGCCTGCTTCAGATTCTGTGTCTCCCTCTCTCTCTGCCCCTCCCCTGCTCAGGCTCTGTCTCTGTCTCTCAAAAATGAATAAACGTTTAAAAAAATGACCAAGAATACTAGAAATAGAACCATAATGTTTAGAAAGTAAGTATGCTGTTAAAATTAAGAACTTAAGTGGATGGTGTATTGGTTTTCTATTGCTGCTGTAACAAGTCACCACAGATTTAGTGGCTTAAAACAACACAAATTTATTTTTTTTACAGTTCTGAAGGTCAGAACTTGAAATGGGTCTCATTGTGCCAAAATCAAAATGTCAGAAAGACTGTTCCTTTAGAGGCTCGATGGAAGAATCCATTTTGTTGTCTTCAGAGCTTCTAGAAACCACCATAGTCCTTGACTCAGGACCCTTTTCCTCCATTTTCAAAGCCAGCCACAGGCCAAATCCTTCGCTGGTTACCATCTCTCTGAGTCTCCTTTTTCTGCCTCCCTCTTCCATTTTTATGGACCCCTATGGCTACGTTGGACTCACCTGGATAATCCACCATAATTTTCCCAGCTCAGGGTTAGCGGATTAGCACCCTAAATTCCATCTGCTACCTTAATTCTGCTTTTTCATATTCAGTTTCCAGGTGTAGGACATGGACATTATGGGGGTGGGGGACCTGCAGTAGTCTGCCTACCACAGGTGGGTTAAAGAGCCGATGGGTTCCCAGCTGCTGTGAGGTCCGCACACCTCTGCGACATATCTGCAAAATAACTGGTGAATGGAAAGACAGAAATGAAGAAGTTACTCAGAATGCAGCCAGAGAAGCAGTATATGGGAAATATGAGAGTTGAAAAGCCATTAAAGATAAATATCACAATCCAAGAAAAGAGAATTTTTAAAAATTTCTACCAGAGGTTAATATAAGGGTAAACTGAAAGAATTAGGATCTTTGTTGTCTTCATGTTGGTCCTTACAAGTTGCACTTTGTATCCCACCGATTTTCCATTTGTAACGTTTCTTTTTTTTTTTTTTTAACATTTATTCATTTTTGAGAGACAGAGTGTGAGTGGGGGAGGGGCAGAGAGAGGGAGATACAGAATCCCAAGCAGACTCCAGGCTCTGAACTGTTAGCACGGAGCCCATCTGGGGGCCCAGCTTACCAACTGGAAAATCATGATCTTAGCCCAAGTTGAAGACTCAACCGACTGAGCCACCCAGGTGCCCCTGCAAAGTTTTACTTTTGAGTTATGAACATCATTTTCTCAGAAGGCAGCCTTTTGCGAGGAACTTAAATATTCATGCACATTTGTGGTCACATGACCAAATGTATTTTTGTGTGAATGGCCACTTTTTATAGAATTAGTATGCTTTATGTAGACCTTCTCCATTTAAAATGTTTAAAAATATTTTATTGGGGAAACTTATTAGTGTGTTCAAAAACTCCTTTATAAGTCATCACTGATTAATGCATACAGTATAAAATGTACACCGCCAAGAAGAGATTTTTTTTTTAATTTTTTACGTTTATTTATTTTTGAGAGAGAGGCAGAGCACAAGTGGGGGAGGGACAGAGGAGAGGGAGACACAGAATCCCAAGCAGGCTCCAGGCTCCAAGCTGTCAGCACCGAACACCACTCGGGGCTCGAACCCACGACCGTGAGATCATGACCTGAGTTGAAGTCGGACACTTAACCGACTGAGCCACCCAGGCTCCCCAAGAAAAGATTTAAGAACAGAAAGAAAGACTTAGATTTTAAAAAGTATAAATCTAGAGACGTCTGCGTGGCTCAGTCGTTTGAGCACCAGACCTCGCTAAGGTCATGATCTTCCAACCCGCATGGGGCCTCTACCCAGCTCATGCTCTGTCTCGCTCAAAAATAAACACTAAATAAATAAGTAAAAAAAAAAAAATAAATTTTTTAAAAAGCATAAATCTAAGTATATGCTCTGGTGTAAAAAGTCTGATTCCTCTGAGCTAGTTTTCATCCAGGCTCACGTGTCCCATTTGAACGAGAGTTTCCCTGTCTTGCCCAGGGTCGGCCTCTGGTTGCAGGATCTGGGTTGCTACTATTAAGGGGCCGGGGCTGGGCTCGCGGCCACCGTGGCCAAGCTGGCGCAAGGAGTTCCCGAGCGTGTCACCCCGGGCCAACTCTCTCGCCCGTCCACTCGGCCCTGCGCGGCAGTTGGCAGCTCCCGTCCCGCGCGGGGCGCCCCGTGGGGGTGCCCGCAGCCACTGTCTGTGCTCCGCGTCTCCAGACTTCCCGCGAGCGAGCGGCCCCGGCGCCGACCCCGCCTCGTCCGGCCGGCACCGCCTCCGCCCCTCCGCGCTGCCAGCCCAGGCGGGCGGGCGCGGCCGCAAGTGCCCTCCCGGCCAGTTCCCGTTCCGGGCCGGGGCGCGGCTGCAACCGCCCAGCGTTTCCCGCAGCGGCTGGTGTCGTGAGCTCCCAGGCGCCCCCGGGTCTCCGCGCGTCCCCCGCCCACCCCACCTCGCGGCTCCCGGGTCTCCGCGCCCCTCCGGCCTCGCCGCTCCCGGGTCTCCGCGCCCCCCCTCCCCCGCCCTCGCCGCTCCCGGGTCTCCGCGCCCCCCCGGCCTCGCCGCTCCTGGGTCTCCGCGCCCCCCCCCCCCCCGCCCTCGCCGCTCCCGGGTCTCCGCGCCCCCCGCTCCCCCGGCCTCGCCCCTCCGGGTCTCCGCGCTCCCCCCGGCTCGCCGCTCCCGGGTCTCCGCGCTCCCCCGCACACCTGGCTCTCGCTCAGGTTCCCAGCTGTTGTGAAGTCTTCACACGTGGAGCTCAAGTAAGTTCCCGCGACTGGGGCGCTTCGCGCAGGGAAGTTTCCTGGGGTCTTGGGCGCTCTGAGCGAGGAGGCTCCGAGAGGAGGGGTCCTGATTGCGGGCGGTATGCAGAGCTCCTCTGGAAGAGCTACAGGTGAAATTGGGGGGGGGGGGAAATGCAGGCAGTTTGAGGAATGCAGAGAAAGTTCAGAAAGACGAACTTTAGCGTCTGCAGAATCACTGATCCTTAGGGTTTTTCTCAATCCTGCCTGCACCTTAGAATCTCCTGGGCGCCTTTAAAATCCAGTTGCCCCGGTCCCATCCTAGACCAATGACCTCAGAATCCCTGGGGCTGGGACCCACGCCTCAATAGCGTTTAACTCCCCAGGCGATTCCATTGTGCAGCCGGGGTTGGGAGCCAATTACCGAAGAAAGCCTGGCTGCCTCCCGAGGAAGGTGGAACGGCACACGGGGGCCTTGATGGAGTCCAGCCGCAGACGCATCTGGCTGCACCCAGTATCCTGTGTGGTCCCGGGGCCCGGCAGCGGGCTTCCCTCAGGCTTTGTGAACCGCACAAAGGGGAATGAGACTATGCTTGGCAGGGCGATTAGCGTGTTCAAGAGACCCTCATATAGTCATCAGTCTTTTGGCACATTGTGAAAAGCAGAAGGCGTGTCCGGTTATGACCCCCGCTTGGCTCTGCATCTGGGAAATTACTCTATTGTTGCCTTTGAAAGGAAGTTGGGGGAAACTGGCCAGCCCGTGGCCTCCACAACTTCTGGGTGGTGTGCTTTAAGGATGAAGCCAGGTGTTGCCACATGGTTGAGTTTGTCTGTTCTCCTAAAAGACCCCCTCGGAGTTCTCCCGTGTCCGGGGAGGGGCAGCTCTACTGTAGATTTCTGAGACCAGTGGATTTCACAGGACGGACCCTTCCTCACCCTGGGGGAGATGCTGGTGGCAAGTAGCTAAAGTCCCAGCAGCAGGGCCATCGGGCAAGACACACGTCTCTACCGCATGTGCAGGGCAAGTTTAAGGGGTGGATTTAAATCAAACAGCAACCTAGAAGCAGAAGAAGGGACTCTCAAAGGTGTTAAGAAGATGACATTTAATTTTTGTGGAATGGAGAAGTAAGTTCAGAGCTTCGGAGTCCATCAAACGTGGGCCTCCATGCAGATTCTGTCACTTCTGTGATATGTGACCATAGGTAAGGTACCTGAAAACTGGGGGGTAAGCATAGTAACTCTGCATCAGGACTAATGATATAGTTAAGTGAGATAATGTGTAGGAAATGTCCAGCAGGCCGGGTGACGCATAGCTGGTGCTCTGTGAGTGCTGGTTATGAGGCACGGCGGTGGGGCTTTGGTGTCTGACAGCTGTTGCCACTGTTTACTTAGCACAGCCTTGATGGCAGGGCGGGGAGAGGAGTGTTTGTCTAGAAACTGTCTCCCTCAACACTCCATTCCCCTGCTCTTGTCCGGCCCTGCTAAGGGGAAGGCTCCTTCCCCCTTGGGCCTCTCGGTACTTTGAGGTCTGGACTCTGAAGCCACTGGTTCCCTCCACCCCCTTTCCCTGGGGCTTACTGATGGCTCTGGAATACAGCTTTGCTCCATGTGATGGGAATCAATTTCTTGATGAAAGAAAGCAGTCCTTAATCTTAAGGCTTCTCCACCCCGCTGCCACATCTATACAAAATGGGCTCGTAAGAAAGCCGGGCTGTCTAGGGGTCTCAGAATCGACGTGGGCACACACACGGGGCTGTCATACTTGCTGCATCCTGAGGCTGTACCCAGGCTGCTCCCATTTTGCCTCTGACTCTTGGCCTCAGGACAATGAACCGTTCTTCAGTGACCAAGAGCTGTCAGGAATTTGGGGAAGGGGGACCCGGATCCTACAGTCGTCAATGCCGCATCCCAGATGAACCTCTCACCCTGTGGCCCACTGTGTGTGTCTCTGATGATCGCTTGTAGTAACGGCGGCACTGTTTAGACTGGACAATTGCATTACAAACAGTGATGTCAAGTGAAAACGAGGATCACGTGTTTTTACGGTGTATGTGCAATCGCTGACTTTTGCTAAAATGAGAATATCGAGTGCTTGTCTCTTTTTAGCCAAAGAGTTCTATATTTCCGCAAACTCTATGATGTAAGCCTAGGATTTGAGGTTGTAAGTTATCAGTTTACTTTGGGATTCTCTTTTTTGGGAGGGTTTTAGACGAGACGAAATTAGAAAAGCTAAAATTTGTACTTGTGCTGAATTTTTGTCATGCAGAAGCTGTAGATGTTTTGCACGTTTCTAGAAGCCCTGTTTTATCATCTGGGCAATGTCCATTGTGTCCCACCCAAAGGGCCTCCTTCTATCCGTCCACAAAGTCTGAAGTTGTTTCAACGAAGAGTCTTTGATGTGTCAGATAATGCTCATTGAGGGCAAGTGTTTTTTCCAAACTTGCCTGTTGTAGTAAGAAATGAGTAGTCACTGCCGTTTCAGTTAATTTATGGTTTCGACCACAAGGTGTGTCAAAGCCAGACTTCCTGGCTTGAATTTTTATCCCCGTGTTTTATCGAGATGTGCCACAGACCAAACTGTGGGCAGAGATCACTTTGCAGAATTGGCCAAGCCAAGCTCCCCACCACCCCCGCCTTCATCATCCCCCCCGCTCCCCCAGCCTCTGGAGCCATTGTGTCAGGTGGGTCTGGGGTGCGGTCACTCTGAGGGCATCCTGGCCCTCTGCTGGGGCACAGTGCCCTAACAAGGGGTGTGCTGCTCTAGAGCCAGCAGGGCAGTCCAGTACTGGAGCTTCATGAGCTACAGAAGGGTAGCCTAGAAAACTGCCGCTTTGGAATTTGTTTTTACAAACCTATAGTTTAAACGATTAATAAATAGGTTAACATAAGGGCCCAGAGAATTGCAAAGTGAGCACCAGATTAGCACCAGGTTATAGTAGGTCGGTATTGTAATAAAACGTGAAAAGTCGCCACTGTTCTGTTTGTTTCAGGATGTTGGAGTTGCCCTCTTTATGTGTCTTCACCACCAGGCAGGTGAAAGAGTTGGGAGGGTATAGATCTTTGCAGAGGCACATGCAACTGGGTAGAGCAGTCATGCACTGCTAGGGAATAGCCTTGCTTGTCAGAAGAGCTGTGCGGATGATGATAGACTTGAGAAAATATTTGTGTTGTTCTAGTTTCCAAAAGATGAAAGCTGAATGACTAAGAACTTCCCGCGCTCTGTTTTAACACATTCCTCAGTTGCTATCTGTGACCCCAAACCAAACCTTCTAGAAGAAACTTAGTGGACAGCTAGGCTGTTCTTTGGGGATATCCTTATTTCTTACAGTTCATGACAGCGGGCTCCTTCATTGGGATGGAGCCGCTCATGGACCCCGTTTAACAAAGAGGTGTTTTACATTTAATATAAATTCAAGCACATCAGTGATTTCAAGTGGAGATGTGAGAACTGTAACAAATACAGGCAGAATGTAAATGAAAGAAACTGTGGTTTTGGGGTCAGAGTTGAACTCAGGCTCCTACTTTGCTCCTTTACTGTGTGACCTTGGCCAAGATATTTAACCTTCTCCCCCTGTGCCCTCCTTTGTCAAATAGTTAATAAGAGTTCTTTCTTTACTGAGTGGTTTTGAGTATTTGATGAGGTAATGGATATAAGCCACCTGGCTTTCAGGAAATGCTGATTATTGTGATAATGACTATGAAGATTCCTTGGGTCAGAGTGCTGGTCTTGCCATCCCTTAAGCTATGTGGCTTTGGCTAATGTACTTAACACTCATGAGTCTCAGTTTTTGTATCTGCAAAATGGGGATAACTCTCCTTGTGTGGAAGGATTGGTTGGAGGCTTGATGAAATGAAATGATGATGCATCTGATCTGAAAGACAAACACTCACATAGATTTAACTGTGTGCAACCCTGGTCTAAAAGCTTTAGGGTTTTTGGATTTGTTGTTGTTGTTGCCGCCTTTTTTTTTTTTTAAGCTCATTTAATCTTCCCAACAACCTTTTGTGCTAGTTATTGCATTTTACAGATGAGACAACCAAGGCTCAGTGAGATGAAAGAACTAGTCCAATGTGAACAGATAGTAAAGCCTGCACCAAGGATTTGAAGGGGAACCCCGTTTTCAACCACTGAACCAGCATTCTGAGGGTGCCCCTCCCTCTGCCCACCTCCCCCACTTCCTCATGCCTGCCTTCTGTGATTGGCCAGGAGATGTGCCTACTCTCTTTTGAGACCCATATTTCTGGACACAGGGCCCCAGCTGCCAAAGAATTGCCTGCTTATAAAGTGGGACTCCTCCCCCCACCACCCCAGCCTTGCAGCTTTTAAACCTCAACCGTTGCTTCCACTGGCTGATCTAATATCCAGTGGGTGTGGTAAGGCTGGGGGAGCCCTGATGCTCGTAGTGACTAATATTTTTAGAGTGGGTTATGGTGCTTATTTTGAGAGAACTGTCATCTCTGTGCACTGAGATAGTTAGTCCGGGCTTAAAAAAACCTGCCTTCACCCGATGGGTTGTGCGGGGTACTTGGGGAGACAGAAGAGCAGGCCTGGAAGTTCCAGATGGGGCTCAGGTGAGCACCATGGTGTTCAAACAGCATCGGAAGTGCAGTGCCTGTTCCAAGGTGACTGCCTTTTCAAAAACTTCTTACTCCTCCTCCCTCTTCCTCACACCTCAGTAGCTTTTGCCTCTTTTGGAGATCTGGCACTCTTTTTAAATTTTTTTTTTAATGTTTTATTTATTTCTAGGAGAGAGAGAGAGACAGCGTGAGCAGGGGAGGGTCAGAGAGAGAGGGAGACACAGACTCTGAAACAGGCTCCAGGCTCTGAGCCGGCAGTCAGCACAGAGCCCGACGCGGGGCTCGAACCGCAAACCACGAGATCATGACCTAAGCGAAAGTCGGACGCTTAACCAACTAAGCCACCCAGGCGCCCGGGAGATCTGGCACTCTTGGGGGCCTGAGCCAGCGGAACTCTGCCCCAGATAAGCAGATTCTCCACTGAGTGAATGGTGGCTGCCTTA